CTGACAGACGGACAGCGGAAGACCGCTTGGACTCACGGACCCTTGAGCCTGGGGGCTGGAGGCAGGGCCGCCTACACCGCCGGCCTGAGGGGTGGCCATGTCGCCGCGCACCTGCTGATCTAGGAGCGCCCGAGGATGTCCACTCTGAGAAAGGTGCGAGCCGCGCGGGGCCACGGGGACTGGGACGCGGGCACCTGAGCTCTTAGTGGCCCGAGCCGTCGGGGCGGGAGGGGACGGCGCGGCGAGACCGACCCGCGTGGTGCCTGCGAGGGCGGCTAGGTTGGGGGTAGGGGTCTGCCAGGGACGTTGCCGCCCTAGTGGGAGATGACCCTGGGGGGGCGAGTGCCGAGGATCAGACACCGGGTCCTTCCGAGCTGCAGCGTAGTGGCGGTGGCGGTGGCCGTGGCCGGGTGGCCGCACGCCGGGCTCCCCGGGCTCCCAAGTGCAGGAGCAGGTGCGGAGCTGTGCGCCACAGAGGTGTGAAATTCCCCGCTTCGCGCGGCGGGCAGGGGGCGCGGCTGTGGATACCGGCGAGGGTCTGCACGTCCGGCTCTGGCGGGGCAGCTGGGGACCCGCCTCCGCCTTCCCCGAGCCCAAGCCGGCAAGCAGACCCAGCCTGGGGATGAATGGAAGGTGCCTGGAACCTGGGCTGCGCGCGGGGGTCGCGGAGGCGGGGAGGGACCACTCATGCCCTCTTGCAGCAGGATGAGGAGGGCCTGGGCCTAAGGGTGCGCGCCGGGAGGGGGTGGCCGCCGCCCCGCTTTCCAAGTGCGAGCGGGGAGCACAGGGGCTTTTTTAGGGGTGGTTGCTAAGCGAGGCGCTACCCAACGCAGGGTTTTGTAACTAAGCCTCCCCCGGCAGCGGCTGTTTCTGTTCTCGGGCTCCTTCCCTAACGATCACGGGAGAAATAATGAGGATGTAATTATTACAGCCCTGCGCGGTGAGGGTGTAGGGGGCGGCAGGCACCAGCTCCTCTGCCCGGAACTGACCAGGTGGGGCCGGGTGGGACTTGCGGTGCCTCTCCCACCCTCCTGGCGCTGTTGGATGGCGGGAGATGCTTTGGAGCCTCTGGACTGGAGACCTGGGCGGGAGGCGGGGGTCGAAAAAAGGTGGGCAGGGGCAGCAGGCAGTGCCTCGGCGGTCGTAGTGAGTGTCGCAGGTGGAGGGGGAGCTTGGAGCTCTGTGGCTGCTCAGCGATTCGCACCCGAAACTCACAACACCGTGTGTGGCTCTTCCACACTTCTGGGACACGGTGCCAGCCTCCCGCGTGTAGTTTCATTCAAATGAATGGCGATTCTAGCCAGGGTCGAAATCCAAATGCGTGACTTACCAGCCATGGCCATCCTGTATTGATTAAAAAATAAAGCAGCGGGCAGCAAATTCACCCTCCGCGTTGATGAACTCTGCCAGTCCAGGCTGTGGGCGTTTCAGAGCTTGAGATTAAAGCGCAGCAGTTTTTCCTGGTGTCTCAAAATTGGAGGCAGGCGGGAGCTCCCTGGACTTGAGGCTTTGGGATTCCCTGTCAGTGGCTGGCTGGTCCAACATCCTGTAGCCTTGAAGCTGTCTGTTACCTTAGGCCCGAGTGATCTATGCTTTACAGAAGACTGTTACTGTGCAGCCCATGAATTAATTGCATTTGTAATGAGAAAACAACCTGGTGTCTCAGCATAGCCTAAAGTAGTCCAGGACTGGTTCAGGACTGTACTTCATTCCACCTCCCCAACAATATGTAGGCCTAAAGTTAAAGTGCATTATAACATGGTTTTCATTTTACTTTATATTCTCTGTGGAAGATGCTACATAGCCAAGGGGAAAAAAAAAACAGTAAAAATGATGAAAAAAAATAGTAATTTTTGGCAGGTCAAGTTGTTACTCTAGTGTTTTAAAAATGCCATTAATCAGGATTTTCCAGTAGCCAAATTGTCTTGTGCAGGCAGCTGGGTGACTCACAGATTTGGCTCCCATGGTAATTGTAGAGTGTGTGTACACTTCCTCTTAGATGATGTGACTTTTACATTACTTGGAAGAGAACAAATTAGAATATTTTATAGCCCACATCTGGCAGCATGGTTGGGAGGCCATGGGGAATGCTCTGCTCAAGCACATCTGGATCATAAACCTAATGAAAGACAATGGGGAATGGTCCCACCCCAGTCACATCACTTCCTTTCCAGTCACTCCACAGGACTGATCTAGTAAATGTGGGATTGTTCTCAAAGATACCCTGTCAGGAGCTGGCACCTTATACTTCTTAGCCCCTCGGATTCCTTCCTCTGTCAGCAATTCTATTAAGAACTCAGTAGATGTGGAGTCATGTGCTTTTGCTCTGTCCTGTAAATAGGTTGTATTTTAGATTAAAGGGTAACCATATAAACAAAGTGAGTGCTTGCCAAATAATTCAAAGGAGCATAATTTAAAAAATTTTTTTCTCTCCACATTAATTTTTTCCTACCCGGAAAGTCCTTTCAGATTGACCAGTGCTGGGTCATTGCTTCCATCAAACTTCCCAAATACAGCAGTTATCCTGAGTGGAGCTACTGTGGTCTGAGGGAGCATGCTTGTGTAGATCGATGCTGTAGTGTGCCCTAGGCACTTATGATTTAGGTGGTTCAGTAGCAATGTTCTTACCGTTATACAATTAGATTACATTGTGCTCTTGCTCCTGAATGACACATGTATGTTCATCTGTGACAATCTGTTGCTGCTCCTACTTTTGTCTACTTCACTTGTGACATTGGTAGATATTCCAAATTGAGTATTAGAAGCAAATATATGCTTCTTAGAATTTAAATCGTGTTGAGTTCTCTGGTTCTCTTTATTTTGATCAATGTGAAACTAAAAAGTTCTAGTATTTTATTAAATGTTAAAATTTGTTATTTCTACTTTTAACACTTTGTCTTCCATAATGAAGTTGAAAATGCTGTAATTCTTTTATCATTAATATTTGAGAAAAAAACTTGATCTTAGTTGCCCAAAGAGTGTTGTATACTTTGATTATAGATTTTATGAGGTAGCTGATTAAATATTATTTATTGACCCTTGGAATGGATATGCCATGATCATGCATTGGATACAATAAAAATAACCATGATTCATCATTTTGGCCAGATGGGAGTCATATTTAGAGCACTGCAGCATGTTGGCTATAAAAGAATTAGAGCTTACCACACAGGAAGTTAGTGGGCAAAACATTCTATGCAGTTAAATTTTATTCTTAATCAACCATAGTTTTATCTAGACATTACTTTTCATCATATAAGCACTCTTGGCTTCTTAGTATCTACTGAAATATGTTTGTTTCTTTATAGTTGAATGTACAAACCTGAGCATGATAATTCACTTGTATTCACAACAAAAGCATTTCATTTTTCAGGAGGCCAAGTGTCTGGGTTCTGATTTCAGAGGACTGGCAGGGACACATTTTAATTCTGAATTACTCTCCTTGGAAAAAGCAATGAGCATTAGCCTGCTAATTTTCTTCATACCTGCCATTTTCTCTCTTCTCTGACTTTGTCTGAAAATGAGACATCTTCTCTAGCAGTGGCTCCTCGCACAGTTCTTTCTTGTAGGCCCACAAGGACAACTGTTGTTCCTTTGACTGGTCTTTGTCCTCCATGGGACATTGTGAGGTGGTGTGCTCTTATGGGAGCTTTTGCCCCTGATGCTACTGGGAGATTTTCCTGCTTGGATGATAGAAACCAGAACTATACCAGTCTTTCTTGTCTGACCATTCCAGAATTAGGCATATTGACCTATAGTGACTGCCAGTATATTTGCCATCCTGTGTGAATTTTCCCCTCTTTGGAGCAGATTCCTCCCATACTCAGGGTCTGGCTGTGCTGAGCTACTCCTTGTGGCAGGATGATTGATTGTCTGGGGAAATCACAGGTTCCATGGCACAGATCATTAAAGAATAGGAAACTCTACTCAAGCCTAGAATTTTATGTATCTCTTGAGGAAAGAAAAGCTGTAGAAAATAGGGATGAAGAGACAGAAGGCCTGGAGTTGCTGCAGTCAACTTACAACCTCTCTGAAATATAGACCCACACTGAGTAGTACCTGTCTGAGGAGGAGAGAAGGGCCAGGGCCACAGAGATCTGTGTTCATACTGCAGGCTATTTGAGAGAACTATATCTCTTGATTCAGATATGTAGACCTGATAATTCTCCTTTTGAATCGAAACTTCTACCCCTGACAACCAAGTGGGATGGATAGATTTTTATCAGAATTTATAAATTTATAAATAATAAAATTTCAGTTTATTCAGAAAGTTCAAGTGAAAACTCTCATTTGGGGACAAGATTTGTTCATCATAAGGTGATATTTTTAATCTGGTATGTTTTCACCAGGAAAAAAAGAAAAAAATAAACCAATCATATCTGAAAATTAACAGATATTTGGAATTGACCCATGAAAATTGTAGCAAATTTTTTTTAAAAAGTAACTTTGTGTATATAACTGGTTTAAAAATGATATTCCACACTATGCATACAAACAGAGGCTGAATAATAAGTACCAACATAAAGCAGGGAAAGAAAAAGAATGGAAATTATGCCCCTAATGCCCATGGAGTACCCAGACAATATGGAACGTATGCTCTTGTACTTAATGGACATTCTGCTGTTTCTGCACAAGGTGATGAGTGACAGTTTATCTTGTTGGTGTCAGGGGTGATTGAGTACAGGTCTGCTGTTACCTGACCAGACAGTTGAGTGGCATTTTGCAGTTTGGTTGACCTTGCCGGGTTTTAGTTATCCTTTATTGAAAGGGGATAGATACAATATTAACTCAGTAGGATGACCACAACGATTAGATGAATTGATGGCAATAGCATTGTGTCAAGGATGGTGTAGATGCTTGGTATGTCTTGGCCTTTTCAATCTCAAGGAAATAAAGCCAGCCTCAGCTCAGTTTGGGCTGCCAGTGCTGAAAGTTATCAAGCTATTCCTACTTCCCATAGAGCTATAGTGTTTATCTCTAGCATTATTTTATTTGTGTATTTGTCTTACCAATCTTTTTTTAATTGAAGTGAACTTAACCAATAAAGGCATGGCAGAAATGTTAATAAAACAGAAATAAAAAGAGACAACAAGCATGATGACCATTAGGATTAAGAAGTTTTTGGTCATCACATTTGACTCTGTGCTCCCTAG